CCCCCGTTAACCAGCAGCAACACTATGATCCTCCTCTCCTCTTCCGAGGCCAAAGATCCAAACCAAAAACCAAAACCACAATCACAAAACCCCAAAATCTCAGAAAACTGCGAATTCAGATCACAGCTACCAATTGACCTATTGCAAAAAGACAAAGACTGAGGCCCCTGGCGGCAGACCTCAGGTAACACTCAAAGAGTCGAAACTTGAGCTTGAATAACACAGCGCGCGTTTCCCCCCCCCCCCCACAGCGCATTTTAAAGATCCTACAAATAAACACAATATTCTACAGAAGAAAAATGAAAATTATCAGGCCCTAAAATTGGACGTTCCAGAAACTGCAGGAAGTCAACAGGCCCCTGCTTTTTATTTTTGGCCCAGCTTTGATGGCGCCGATTCTGCCGGCGCTTCCTGTGGAAAATCAGATTCTCTCGGAGTCAAAATAATATACCGATTGTTTGAAAAGTCAAAGTCACAAAATTAGTGAACAGAGCCCACGCCCAGGGTCAAAGGACTGCACAGATAGAGGTACACAATTTTTCAGCGGTGCAGAAAATCCGCGTAAAGGCTCTTGCAGATGTTGACAACAACCAAATGTTGTAGATGTTGCACAGACGACACCTTATCCTGTTTGATGCATATAATCCAAATAGCGCACATGGCTCCCAATATTTCAGATATAAATTTATAGCGCACCTGCAATGCACTTGCTGCAAACCATGATTCCCCTGATTGGTAATAGCAGGGTGTATTAGGACCAACACGTGTGAGTGCGAGTGTGCCGTGCGTGGTGTGTGTGAGACTGTTGGCCATAATAGCCACTGCTGCTACTTGATGGGGCGTGCGGGATGCAGATGGGAGGCGCACCCCCCAAATGGCGGCCCCGCCCTACTCCCTGACCACCACCGATTAGGGCGGGGGGCAACATGCATCCCCATAATTGTGAGAGTCAACTATGCTTGCAGGGGTTCCCTGGGCCTGCATAGGCTTAGGAGTAGTTGTAGGTAGAGAGTGAAAGGTGAATTTGCAAGAAGAATAGTTGGAAAAAAAAAAAAAAAGTACGTGTTGATGATAGACATCCGTCGGAGTACCTTCCTGGCTCAGCAGGSGGTGGGATCCAAATCATCCAACTATATGCGGTGTTCAATTGTGATGTGAGTAGGTGATGTCCTGCTTTGCTCCGTGCTGGATGTAAAGACTGCCCTGTCTGCGCTCTGCCGCTGCCTTGCTGCCTGTCCCCCTTGGGTTGCATGTTGTTCTTTGCAAGCTTCTGCTGGGTTCTCTCTGGTGTGGCTGCAGTGTTAGTGTTCCCCTGTGCTTCGCCGAGCTGCTGCCTTCCTTCCCACCCCCGTGCCTTGCTTTCTGCGTCCTTGCTTGTGTGGCGTGTAGCGTGTCTGCTGTAGTGCTGTTGCTTTCTGCTTCGCTGCACCGTTGTGGTGCTGCTCGTCCCGTTGCTCTGTCGTTCCCTGCAGTAGTTTTCGACGTTCTGCAGTTGGGTTGCTTCGCTGAGTTGTTGCCTGCTGCTGCTGTGTTCTGGTTGTGGACAGACTGCCGACAAGAAGGATCAAAGGGTTCATGGCCCGAACATCAAGAAAGGGATTCCGTAGATTGTCGAGGGTTCAGCCTCCTGATGAGTCGGTGCAGATCCAACGAAACAATCCATCATCAGTTTTCTTTTCATATTAAAATTTAAAACTAAGCTACATTCTTCACTGATGGATCTCACACTACCTAGCCTCTCCAGTTCTCTATTTCGTAAATCATTGCATCATCAGTTCTATTTTTTGGGGATTTGATTCTTTTGGGGGGGCTTGTAACTTTCCCAGTCTGTCTGTTTGGTGTGCTCGTGTGTCGTCTGCTTGGTATGTTTGGTGTGCTTGTGTGTCATCTGCTTGGTATGTTTGGTGTGCTTGTGTGTCATCTACTTGGCGTGCTTGCGTGTCGTCTGCTTGGCCTGTTTGGTGTGCTTGTGCATCGTCTGTTTGGTGTGCTTGTGTGTCCTCTGTAAACGAGTGGATGGTCCACTTAAACAATCTTGGCGTGCCTGTGTTCGGTGTGCTTGTGCATTGTCTGTTTGGTGTGTTTGGTGTGTTTGGTGTGTTTGCGTGTGTTTGTGTGTCCTCTGATTGGTGTACTTGTGTTCGTGTGCTTGTGCATTGTCTGTTTGGTGTGTTTGTGTGTTTGTGTCCTCTGCTTGGTGTACTTGTGTTTGGTGTGCTTGTGCATTCTGTTCGATGTGCTCGGCTGTCCTCTGGTTGGTGTATTTGTGTTTGCTGTCTGCCTTCCCGGCTCCCCCTGAGCCTTCCAGCCTACGTGTTGTAGTTGCCTCCCTGATCATGCCGCGTGGTTTCTTGGTTGGTATTATTGCCTTCTCCATCCCATTCGTCGTTTCCTTTACCACCTTATGCCCTTGTGATTACTCATCTTTAGTCTGCCCTCCTGCCTCCCCCGTGCCTCGGGCCTATGTGCTGCCTCCATGCTTTTGCCCCATCCTGCCTTGCCTGGTTCTTTCTCATTTGCCGTTTACAGTATTTTTCATTCTGCTGGTCTTTTCTTTCTAACTTTGGCAATACTCTTGCTCGCCTATGCCAGCAGTACACATCACCAAGCCGCTTCCATTGCTACTCCCCACCGTAAAGAACTTAATTCCGGATGCATGTATTAGCCCCCTGTGGTCTGAAACGGTCGTAGCACAGCATGCTGTACGGTTCTAAGTTCTCAGCCCAATCGGAACACCCACACCCACCCACCCACACACACACACACACACACACACACACACACACACACACACACACACACACACACATCGTGTTGACCACCATCATATCCCCATATTGCTTCAGATCTCTCCTCCGAAAATGTCTTGCATTCCCTGCTCATGCAACCTGAGCCCGACCCCCCCCCCCCCCCCCCCCGGCTTTCTTGCTCCAGTTTCTGCATCTTCCCGCTCCTTAACCTCAATTCAGCAGAGCACATCACAGTACGGGCTCTTGCATTCCGGACACTTCTCGCATCCTTTTTCAGCACACTTTCAAATTGCAGCCGCATAGGCACAAACTTAAACCACCAGTACTTGGCCCAGCTATTGAAGCCGAGCCTGAATATGCCCTCCGCGCCGATTTTTGCCGAGCCTGCAGTGAATGGGAAAAAATACGGGACATTTGTTGCTTCAAGCAGGTGCCGCCCCCTACGCTGGACCTGCTGCCAGCAGATGGGACGTAAACAGGCCGTCGTTTTCTTGTTTCCACTCAGGTGGCACCCGAAGCCTCGCCAGGAGTGCAGCCAGTGCGAAAGATCTTAAAAAAAAAAAAAACCGGGTGAAAAGGGAACCAAGCTATTCACTCACATGACGCGTTTTACATCTAGATACATTTGGGAGAGTGTGAGCGTTACACTGCCAGGCAATCAATGCTCCCCGTGTCCAACGGGGAGTCAGATCACGAAGTGCCAACGATCTTCTTCAGAAAAAGCAAAAAAAACGATCTTCTTCAGAAAAAGCAAAAAAAAAAAAGTTTCAAAAAGACGAAAAGGGAAACCAAGCTATGCACTTACGTATCGTGTTTTACATCCAGAGACATTTGGGAGAGTGTGGACGTTACACTGCCCTGGCATTCAATGCTCCCCGTGTCCAACGGGGAGTCTGACCACGAGGTGCCAACGATCTGTTTCGTTTTTTTTTTTTCTCCTTTTCGTTTCCGTTTTTCCCCTCGTTGATTTCAGTGTCCGTGCGTTTCCACATAGCACACCACCAGGACATCGTGCAGTCCTTTTGCCCCGTTTCCATGGGGCCACCAGCTCCCTCCCCCATTGCCATGCCAAGCCTTTGCCAAAGAGTGGGAAACGCGTAGCGTTAACGCTAAGGGCCCGCGGCCGATGTATGGGCCAAGTACTGGTGGTTTAAACCACCAGTACTTCCTAAAGTTGTGCCCGTTAACGCTACACAATTTTAGGAAACGTACAGGCCACAACAGGAGCTCCCAAATTCATCCAACTACAAACGTTTCTACTCTATTTTTTTCCGCGGCCGATAGCTGGGCCAAGTACTGGTGGTTTAACATTCAATAAAAATGAACATGCTTGCAATGCCATCACACTGCTCATACATCCAATCATCAGTTAGGGGAGAAGAACAACATCCACACACTGACTCTCAAGGGATATTGCTCATAGCATGCGATAAAACGTTAACTGAGAGAAACACTTGCAAACAATCAATTCAACGGGTTTGAACTTTGAAGGGATCAATGAATTCCAATTCCAAAATTTTAAATTTCAGAGGGAAGCAAATCCTGGCCCTGCAATCATTACACACATGCACTCATCAGTTGAGCCACCAGTACCTCGCCCGGCCAGATTTTCCCTACACGGCGGCCGTTAATGTGCCACAAATTTCCCAGGTAGGCGTACCCGCACGCAAAACGGCTGGTGGAGGCCCGTGTTGGTTCAGTTTTTTGGGTTTGCAGGGTGTTTCCAGGCTCACTAAGGGGGCGCGTCAAAGGTATCGGTGGTGGTTCAAGGGAGATCAACACTTGCACACGACTCTCGCATGCGACATTGCTCTTACATGCGATAAACAGGTATCCGAGAGAAACACTCGCAAAACATGCGATAAGGGACATTGCCCATACATGCGATAAACAGGTATCCGAGAGAAACACTCGCAAAACATGACTGCAGGGGGTTAACCAAATTAATTCCATAATTCATAGGGCAGCAAATCCTGGCAGTCTTCACTCATGCCGCTTGCAGACAGACAGACAGACAGACAGACAGAAAGACAGACAGACAAGGGCTGCTGCTGCCACATGACATGCTGATTTTCCAAAGCCTCTCACTGAACCACATACCTTTCTAATCTGATCAAATGGCAACACGGACACTCGTCTCACTCTCTTCACGCACGGCCCTCAATACGAAGAAGACTTTCAAGGGATCAAATCAACGAACACAACCCTCGAATCAGCAAACAAAACCCTCGAACTGAGAATCTGTGGTCAGCTGAAAGAATGGTCCCCATCACCCGCCTCTCGGACTCAGACTCGTCGAAATTATAGCCGCCTTTCTCTCACACAACTCCTCACTACCTCCCTCCTTTCTTCCATCCTTATGCACTTCATCGCCAGCACCCATGATTGCTCCCTGCTTTTTTTGCTGAACCGTTCACCGGCAGTCGATCCCCCCAACCCCCCCCCCCCAACTACCTTACTTGGTATGTCCTTGAAGTGCAAATATATGACAAGTCGACAACTCTACATCCTATGCAACAAGCCTGCACCGCAATACCGTCTGCATCTGGTCCAAGTTTCTTAAGGCCATACAGACTGAGATTGTCCTATCGAGGCGCTCTTCAGCTTTGCAATCATACATTACAACCTGCTGCCCCGCCTCAGACCGTTAGAAAGGGAACCAACACCGTCGCTATACAAAGCACAGAAAATGACAGCTTCACCACCTCTCAATACGAAAACGAAATCATCATCATGGTCTCGAAACGTTTCTACAAAATGTGACAGCAGCTGTAATAATCAGGAACGTACCGTCTTTGCCATCTCCCCAGCTCTAAGGGAGGGATTCCGAGGCTCCCCCGCACCCGCCACCAACGCAACCGCTACTCGCTAGCAGCTATAGATCGATCGGTCAGTGATCCATCTTGTCACCACCAAACTCCCGTCTCCCCCTGAATGGAATGCACGGTCCCTATCGCTGCATCCAGACTGGACGTTGGTCCAAACACGGGCAGAATTACCGTACGACATAATACGTTCTGTTTGGGTGACGAAAGGTACCCCCTCTGCGCTGCACTATAATAGCAGTGGATGACAGTTCACAGACCCCCCCAAAATAACGCAAACCAGCAGTTGCTACCACCACACCTGCATGGCTAATCGGCCGCCAACCCACTTCCTTGATCCATATCAAAATCTACTATAGAAACTCAGCACTCCAAAACACAAGAGATGAAATCACTGGCGCCATGTGCTGACGGCTTCGCCTATACTCACCTGCACCCTCGCCAGAGCCTTGAGATTGCTCGTGTCCGCTGACAAATCACATTCAGAACATCAATCAACTCACTCCTTGCTCAACCAATCTTTCACTTCTGGACGCGCATCTTGTCATGTCCGACAAGTCGTCAATTTTGATATGCAACATGGAAGCCTCGTCAAGTCTGAAATTCCCAATACAGCAGCACCCATGAATCGCGCGAGCAATGATCCGCTTTCAGGTGACCGCCGATATACTGCCGGTCCTCCGCAGATTGTGTGAAGTTGATCTAGCATGCAAGCACATTGGCATTTTGCCGGAGAAGCATCCTGAGAGACCTTGCCTCCATCATCGTCGCCCTGTATGAAACCACACAAAGGATGAACCGACCCCGACATCAGCCCATGTATGTACGACTCGTCACCCGTAACTTGAGGCCATGCCCATCAACTGTACGTTGGTCACATTACCACGCAATAACAGAGTCGAGCACACCTTCATGTTTTATTGCTCCCCCAAGCACAAGGAACCCACTGTCATATCCATCCTGGCGTTTGCCCCAAAAAAGGGTGTCAGGATTAGAAAGGCACCAGAACTGTTGAAATACAGACCCCAAGTTCAAATGCAGGTGCAACCAGTTGAGCAAAACAAATTTTCTGAGTTACCTAAAGCTGCTCGGTCCAATAAGGTAAAGGTATCTCACGACCGTCACCATCTTTCGAAACACACACACACACACACACACACACATAAGAGTATCCTTCTGAATTGCAGACTGGAAAAACGAAATGTCCCCAAGCGAGCACCATGATGCTACATCTATCCTTTCAGCACAAAATTTTCAGACACGGGGACATCCTTGCGCAGGGGCTGTGGTAAATCTTATTAGTATCGTTGAATCGTTCCAATTTTAACGGATGTCCCGGACGACATGCATGATCACTTTGCACCAACGGACCTAGCTCAGTTGGTACACCCATGAACGTTTGAAATATGAATCAGACCCAAGTTCGAATCCAGATGCAATCAGATGAACAGAATCAAATTCTTGTGAATTACCTGGGCCCGGTCAGTTTAATGATGATATCTCAAGGCTGTCGCCCTTTCTAAAGAAAATATATAAAAACAATACATACTAGTTCAAGTTTATTTACAAATTGATAAATTAGTGTAATAAAAAATACAAAAAAATAATAAAATACTAGAAAATACAATAAAAGTATAAAATAATTGAAAATACAATAAAAACAGTATTTATTATTTAACATTTGATTTTTTGAATCAGGAAGAGGAGATTAAAAAAAAAAAAAAAAATCATGATCACTTTAATATGCTCAAAGGCTCAAAGCCTCAAACATACATACATGCAAATGCAAATTCGGTTCCAGCAGAAATAACTTCAAATAAGAAACTGCCGGATTGCACAATTACCTGCGGGGGCTGAAGGGGCATTATCCCACAGATCCCAGTTATCCCACGAATCAGACCGTGAGGACATCCTTCTTTTGGGTGGCGACCTGCTAGACATGCCTCTGTCGTAATCGTCCCAGCTTCGGCTCGGGCTGCCAGCACCTCTTCCGGTTGACCCGAAACGCTCCCCACCATACCTATCCCCCCTACGAGATGAATCGGCGCCTCTTCCTCCTCCACCATAAGACCTTCCAGCATCTCTGCTCCCCCGTCCTCTTCCACCTCGTCCACCGTCAAAACTGCCACCACCACCACGGCGGCTTCCTCGCCTCTCAGGGTCTTGTTCAAAGCGCCCGTAATTGTCACGGTACCCTCTCACTTCTTCGTCAACAAGACGCGGGAGCTGGGCCAACAAACATCACCGAACACATTGCGATGCTGCCATGCGTTAGAGACAAAACTTGAGAGGTTGAAGCGTGTGAGGGCGTTCTTGTTGTTTTTTGGACTTGCCGGTTGGAATAGGAACCAGACTGCCGCTCCCCCAAACGAATATCGAGCCAGGGCCATAAGGACATGGTTCCCCCCCCCCCCCCCCCCCCCCCCCCCCCCCCTCCTTCCAAAAGAGATAAAACTTGACGTCAACCTGTTTGACCTTCAGCTGCTCTGTCCTCAGAGATGACCCGCTGGCATAAGAGTTTAGCGGAGTTCTCTGCCAGCGAATAGGGGTAGGAGATATTTGTCATTAAATCCCCCTCCACACCCGTCAACCTTATCAACAAAGGTCCCGCAGAATATGTTCCGGCAGGTAATTACCATCAGGCAGGCCACGAACAAACTCAAAATCCGCAACGGAGATAAATGAACAAACTCAAAACCCATAACGGGGATGAAACAGCAAACGAGTCGTGGAAATCAACCAAGAAATAGTCACATAGGGCCTCGCCGTACCACTCACCAAATGCACAAAGACAAAAAACATGGCTGTGAATCTTTCCATGTTCTTGGAGAAGATTCGCCCTCGTTTTGCACAGTCGGTGAGTAGTCCAGTAAAGCCCATAGTTAGTTTTGCTTTGCTCTACGCATGAATTGTGCCACTGGGCATCCTACCAGATGAGACAAGCAAGCCAATCTTGTCTTGGCCATCATCAAGTTTACTTTTTCTTTCGCCTGGGCTTAATTCTAATCTGTCATTTTCAATCTGAACAAACACCCCAAAATGCATCGACATCATCTCTCTTCTTTTCTTCCACTTCCGGAAATCAAACCAAGAAAAATGCAATAATCAGCTTAGGTCTACAGGGCCATAGACAGTCTAGGGGCCATCAAGTTTCTCTTCTTTTTTTTTTCCAGCCTCTTCAGAGAAACAACGAACTGCACAACTGAGAGCATCCCTCCTACTAGATAAGCTAGGGAAGGCAGGAATGAAAACAAACAATTTCAATTTTCAAATAATCCAATTGGCAGCTTGCATTTTAACCAAAGGACTGGACCATCCATCAGTACATAATGACAAAATCTTCTCTTGGCCATCGACTTTCCTTTACCTTTCCCCAGGTCCTGATTTCTAATCTGTTCATTTCCCTTTTGGACAAACACCGCAAAATGCATCAACATCCTCTTTCTATGCACTCGCCCATTTTCTTTCTTTCTTTCTTGCCATATTCTTTTCTCCCGTCTCCTTTTGCATTTTTTCTCAACATCCTATTTATTCCGTGATGCACGGAAAATCTTTTCGTGCGAGTCGATCACAGAGGGGTCAAACTCATGCAGCCGTATCGCCGGGATGATCAGTCCCTCGATGACTGCAATTTACCCCTGCAAGGGGACGGCTGTCCTGTATGCTTGCCGGGATGATCGTCTCCTTGTGTTCAGCGAAAGATGCTTGGCTCCGAATGCACTACCGTCTTTCGCTGAACACAACTCGGAACAGAAAGATAGATTGTATACACTTTCATGACGACGACGGTACATTGTGTACGCGGGGCATGACGACGGTACATTGAGTATGCAGAAAGACGCTAGCATCACACCCATAATGACTCTATCGGGACAGAAAGATAGCTCGTACACATTCGCGGTGAGGGTGCAGTGTGTACGGGGTAAGAGGGCGGCAGCATAGGATCACATTCATACTGCAGCTGCTGGACTACACACAAGTACAACAACCAGGGTGTGTGTTGTGGACCGCCACGCTTCCCACGAAGCACAATCCTGAAAGCTTTCAAAGCATTGTCTGACAACAACCGGGAACACCGAATGGGTTACTCACCTCTTTCGGAATATCGAATACATCTCCACCATCTGTCTCCAGTGCAACAAGCTCCTTCGCAATCTTCTCAGGGAGATCAAATACAGCACCTTCGACCTGCAAACAAGAGAACACAAACAAGCATTCACGAAAAAGTGAGTGCTGATGAAATATAGCCTCTGCATCAACAACAGAAAACCACATCTTACCAGCAGCAACCATAGACTCCTTCGGCAAGGAGCCCAGGTGCCTATACAGTCAATCAGTCCATCAGGAAGCTGTGAATGTGTCTGGCCAAGGACGCTGGCCATCTCTCTGTCGGCAAAGCGCCTAACAACGTTGGGAAGTGCCCACACACATCACCAAAGCCCAGGCCACAGGAGTCCAAAGCCACGTGCCTATCTCCCAACTTTTAAATCGTGCTTTCTATCGACCCACTGACACATGACATTGCAGGAGGTCTTCACCAGGATGGTGCATTCGCTACTGGCAGCTCGACAACAGACGACTCCTCCAGAGCATGCCGTGACGGTATGGGGATGGAAAGAGAGCATGCCGTGACTGTATGGGGACGGAAAGATAGTTTGTGTGCGTTTCCTGTCGAATCCTTATTATTACATTTATTTATTAATTTGACATTCGAAGTGACAGTTGCCTAACAACAATGACATGTCCAACAGAGAGAGAACCACTATCCTTAGCCAGATACACGTATCTTGTGAAGGACACTGGCCAGATGTTCACAACTTCCTAGCACCATTCAATGCCGAAGGTGTGAATGTATCTGGCAAACGGCACCGGCCAGATACATTCACAACTTCCTAGCACCATTCAATCAGGAAGGTGTGAATGTATCTGGCTAAGGACACTGGCTCTCTCTCTGTTGGCCAGGTCAATGGCCAGGTGCCTAACGACGTTGGAAGGTGTCAGCGCATCACCAAACTACCAGCCGCAAGAGTCTCCGCCCACGTGCCTATCTCCCAACTTTTGAGCAGTGCTTTGTGTCAACAACTGGTTTAGTAAAGAGCAGTCAGCATAATTTCTTTATACATTCACCCCCTAAGAAGACGAAATTCAACCCCTAAGAAGACGAAATTCAACCCCTAAGAAGACAGAAATCACCCCCCTAAGAAGACGAAGCACCCAGTACACGCAGTGAGAATGCCTGAATTCGTTCTATTTGGCATTTTACTACTCAGCGTGCTAAGTTTGAAACAACATTTACTTCATAACATTAGTGAGAAACGAGTTCTGGTAGCTTAAGAACACATTCCCTTCCCTTCCCATATTCAGGCAAGGCACAGTCGTGATTGTGTGCGCACTGCGCAGGTACACTCTGTCAGATTGCTTTTGCGAAGAGGAAACACATCATAACTTTATGCCAGGCTGGCACCAATCCACCACAAAAAATGCAAGCTTGAAACTACCGTCTTCACCCGAATAGAACGCCCAGTCATTATACCTGTATTTGGTGCAACTTTCAGTCTACATACAGTGATAATGACCGGGCATTCTAATCGGGTAAAGACGGTAGAAAGCAAGTAACCAAGATTCCAGGAAGCCAGCTGGATAAGCCTTCAAAAAGAACAGTGCTGCACAGAATCTCAACTGTTGCGCACACACATGCGGACTCCACAAGACGCTGCTCGGGAGTACAACAAAACTCACATATAGAATCATGCCAGGCACTACCGCCTTGACCTGAATACAACGCCCAGTCATTATAACTGTGTTTGGTGCACAGCTGGCCCGCGGTTGGACCGGCGGACCCTCCCCCAACCGGGCGCATGCTGGTCGGACCGGCGGTCGACCCGCTCAGCAGACCCCCGGTCGAATCCGGTGCATTACGCTTGGGGTAGTGTGTGKGKGKGKGTGTGKGGGGSGGGGGGGGGGGGGGGGGGGGGGGGGGGTAGGTACCGGGGAGTTACAGGCATCCCCGCGGTTGCCCGGCCCCTCCGGGAGGCCACTGCCTCCTGAAAGCAAAAAACGAGGCATTTTGGACCCCAATTCTTGAAAAGAACAGGCAGTGAAAGCCATACCTCCCTGAATATCCCAACAATACCTCCGACTCCCCCTCTGACTCCCCGAAAAAAATTGCACCTTCAAAATTTTATTGCGGATTTCAACAGCTCTCGAAGAGTGCGGTCTGAAACAACCGAAAAGAAAAAAGAAAAGAAAAATAGTTGGCCCTTTTTTTGTTTACGGGTTTCCCAGTTCAACCCCCCTGGGCCGATCCGGCCCCGGTTGGACAGGGCTTGGTTTGGTGCAATTTTCAGCGCAGATGCAGCTATAACGACTGGTGTGTTCTATTCAGGTGAAGACGGTAAGTCTATTCTATCCCCACAAGGTATGGAAACAAAGTTGCTGATGTGCAGGCCATAAAGAAACACCACTCACATTCCGATCGGACAGCATCCGAATCTTGCCAACCTCGTCCGCAGCAGGACGGTAATACTCTCCGAGTGCACCCATGACAGCCCTTGGCGAGCTCAATGTACCATATCGGGACTTCGTCGTCCTGACCATCCGCACAGTTGTGCATCCCTGTTTCATTCATCACAACAACGCGGCATCGTCCACACACAGTTTGTCAAAAGCAAAATCACACCGTCCTGATCATCCATCCCTGTTTCATCACGACAACCCGGCATCGTCCACACAGAACCACAAATTCACTCCCATAATCTCATTATTAATGGCAACTACACAATCCGGGGTTCTCCGAAGGCAGGTTAACAGCGAGTTCCCGCTTCCCCCCCTTGCTCTTTTAGAGGACTTGACAGTGCTCAAACGTTTTTGGATTTAACATGGAGATGTGCGCTCAATTAAAGATTATTAAGCCCGCAAAAAAGACGCACAACATGCATTCTTGATAAATACAATGCAAGAGCTTAGGCACTTCCATAATTTCGCCAAAGCATGGAGACATGACCAAGGTTTCGACAAAAAGATACTCATCCTGCGCATCATGAAAGAGCAACTTGCATGTAAGACTGAAAACTGTCCGCCGAAGGAGAACCGGACCAACAAAGACCTCTCGTTAGCCAAGCGCACAGAGCCCAATCATCAACTGATCATTCATTCATATAGCAACCTCACTTCATCAGATACTGCATGCCTATCGGCTATATCCAACTTGATGGCTCTGATCCATTGGACTCTCCACTCTCAGCACACACTCGTCATCTTCAATCCCCGGGACCACACACTGAAGACAGCAGCACTACAGACAATATTGATCGACTGTGCGCATACTGAACACCACAGATTCCATTTCGGCGTGCGCACATTCAGCGACAAAGGAAGTAGACAAAAGAAGCGAGTAAAAGAAAGGGAGACAACAGTCCAGGGCCTAGCCCAGTTGGTAGACCCATGAACTTTTGAAATACACACCCAGGTTCGAATCCCGTTGCAATCGGATGACTAGAATAAGATAAATCTGAATTACCTGGGGCCGGTCAGTTCAATCACGATATCAAGGCCGTCACCCTTTGAAAATAAAAAAAAGAGATTCTGACACAAGTGGAGAATCAGACAGAGATATGGTACAGGACAAGCGGCGACTCGAGTGAGAACCAAAAGGCAGGAGATCATGGACCCCCACAGGTACCTGATTCCCAGCAGGCAAGACAGACTATGTGTAGAATTAGATTATTCCTTAAACAAGGCATTAGAAGTAGAGCTCGAAGTAAGCAGGCATCTAAGAGCGGCATGACCCACCTCCTCAAGGGTGATCAACGATCTTGAGGGCGGAGGTTGCGTGTAGCCACTCATATGGGCTAAGGCAGCAGCAAGCGCGACGACGCCTTTCTCAGCAATTAACTTCTCTGCAGCTGGAAGGAAAACGTCCCTCAGGTCAGGGTGCACGCGTTCAATTGCCTCCTTGGCCTGCTCTGAGGAAGCCCTCAGCACGTCCTCCACATGGGGAGGTGGTACTCGCTCCAGAAAGCAGTTTGCATCCCTTTCTATCATCTTCAGAGTCCTGTTCTGCGAATCTGTGTACATCACCAATGCTGTCCCCTTCTTGCCAGCGCGGCCCGTTCTTCCGGACCTGTGAACGAATGTCTCTGCATCATTCGGCAGCTCGAAGTGGATCACCTGCTCCATCACACAAACCCAAGTTTGTAGATGTAATAATTAGACTATGCTTCCTCATCCGTTCACAGAGTGTGCACCGCCTCGCACCCTGTGCATTGCCAGATACTATCACAGCCACAAATACCCAAGTTGGCGTGAGCAGTCCAGAGTACAAGCACAGCCACAAATACCCAATTCTGCAAGTTTACACTCCATTATAACAGGCAGAGTCTCAAAACATAAAGAGTTGGTGCTTAATACAACTCTGAAAACTCGAGAAGAAAACCAAACAAAGGGAATTCAGGAGTGTCCACAGGCACACACAGAAAAAGACCATCCAGTGGGACAGCACGACATCTGTTTGACAGGCCTGAAAAAAAAAATGGCAAGACGGGAACTCTGGTTAGCACTGACCAGATCCACATTCGGAATGTCGAGCCCCCTAGCAGCAACATCTGTCGCAACAAGGACTGCAAATCTTCCATCCCTGAATGCTTGCAGGGTCTTCTCTCGCTGATGCTGACCAATATCTCCATGCAGAGCTTGGCACCCAAGTGTTCGCCCCAAGCTGACGGCTACATCGTCTGCCTCACGCTTTGTCTGTGTGAAAACAATAGCCTTTGCACCCTTCCCATACACCTGCACAACGACAGCACAAATCAGTGTCGTTGAATCCTTTTTGATCTCGCAAAACTCAATCGCTCAGTGCAAGTCCACTACAAAAACGGACCTCACAAACTTGTGCGAGCAGCAGAATCAACACACATACCTACAGAGCTAGTAAAAGAAAAAGATGAAGATACACGACAAATGACGTCACCAGACAACACAAGAACATGACAAGGGATGACATCATCATGCCGACAACATCCACGGGCAAAGGCGACACTGGTCCTCATCTTGGCCCTCTGAGCCCCCCAACGAGGCCTGACAGTCAAAACCTCCTCCCTTGAGGACGCACTAAAGAAACCCTGCCCTCATCATTCTGTCTCTAAAGTTATGTGGTCGCAACCAACGGTCCCATTCTCCTACGATGGCCACCAGAGAGACTGGTTAATATCCCTCCTCCTACCCCTTCTCTAACCTGCCTATATGGCCACTGATGGAACTCGTGGAGAGCGCCATTAGCTCAGCAGCCTGGGGGAGAAGCAAGCAAGTGCAGAATAATGTGCCTTGCAACTGTCACCAGTGCTACACTGCTATGTGGGCCTCAGCACGGCAGAGTTTTTCCAACAAAAAAGGGAAATTGCAAAAAGTACAGGGAAACTGAGATCTGCCCTTGTCACTTGCCTGGGTCGAAAGGCCCAGGTTCCCGCAACTCGTCAGGAGGCTGAACTCATATGCATAGCAGTTTTCAAAAGTCTTCCTTCACGTCTTTGCCTAGCTACACGGAAACTACGACTGAAACTGAGATCTGCCCTTCTCTCTTGCCTGGGTCGAAAGGCCCAGCTTTCCTTGGAGTTTCCCCGACTCATCAGGAGGCTGAGCTCATATGCATAGCAGATTTCACAAGTTTTCCTTCAACCCTCTGCTTAGCTATATCATTTCGGCCATTCTTCTTGTTCCACAACTTGCATCTGCGAACCTGTGTATGAAGAACCATAAACACATGCTCTTGTCAAATATGCGGTTAAGCAGGTGGCAATTAGGTTCTTGCGAGTATGTGTGAAGGCCTACCGTGATAAGATCGGCAAGGATTGACCGCTTCATATTATCCGTCGTCCTTACAGCCACCAATTTGATCCCTTCCGCAAGCTTGTCTTCATCCTCGCCAACCTACAGAAAGAGAGCAGTCCGGTCAGCTCGGTCAGCTCGGTCAGCTAATGAAAAAGCACACACCCTTCAACAGTTGCCAACTGGTTAAGGTATCCAATCCAACCTCCTGGATAGAACAACATGACGTCAAACCTGCTCATACATAAGGCAAACGCACACACAGTAGTTAAAAGAAGACAAGCGAGGAGCATGGGGTGATTCAGAGGCTCAGAACAAAACAGCAGCAAAGCACGCCTATGGCATCTATAAAACAGAGAGAGGGAGATGGGCATGTAGGTCAGGTCGGTCCCAATGCCAGAAACACTACCTTCTTCCCCCGAATACAACGTACAGTCGTTATAGCCATATTTGGTGCAGCGTAGGTACAGCGATAATGACCGGCCATTGTATTCGGGTGAAGACAGTAGTTAATGCCTGCAAATGTAAGCCTACCAGCTTGGGAAGGACACAGCCTTCAGAATCAGTCAAGCTGCACTGCCTTATGATTGTGCGGCTTACAACGCACCTGTCGTCATGGATAATTTGAACCAACCTTCTTCACCAGGAATATACTTGTGGGAACACAAGCCACGCCACAGCTGCAAGGCCACCAACCTTCTTTACCAGGAATATATTTGTGGAAACACAAGTCTTGCCACAGCTGCAAGGCTGCCAACCTTCTTTATCAGGAATGCACTTGCAGTAACACAAATCATACCACAACCAAAAGGCCACCACCGAGGCACCCCGACCGAAAACCTAACCTTCTTTCCCTGCAGACACTATGCATTCACTATAGCTGTCTTTAGAACAACTCCCGTGACTGTTTAAGCATGTATCATCATCACCACTGAAGTGTCCCTTCACCGTTTAAGCATTCTGTCCTGGTTTGAGCACCACTTATGATTGTTTGCATCCATTTATATCTTGCTCAAGAATGGAGTATGCCACTTACCAAATCAATTGTCAGAGGGTTATTAAGATATTTCCTCGAGAGCTTCTTCACCCAAGACGGCATGGTCGCCGAGAAGAGCATAGACTGCCTCTGACCAGGTACTCGCTCTAGAATCTTCTCGACATCTTCTTCGAAACCAACTGCCAACATCTGATCGGCTTCATCAAGCACCAGGAACCGCACATCGGATAGATCTAGAGCACCACGCTCAATCAGATCTATCACCCGCCCGGGTGTGCCAACGGCCATATCCACGCCTTTCCTCAATGTTCGCTCCTGGCCACCAATGGACACTCCTCCGTAAACGCAGATCGTTGCCAAGCTCGGTACTGTTTGCATGAACTCCCGTTCCACCTGTTTAGCCAGCTCCCTGGTCGGCGCCAGCACCAAGCATCGAGGACCTCGGCCATTGCGCCTGTGCTCAGATGCCAACCATGTTCCCCAAAACAGACACCACACGGTTCATTGATTAGAGCGAGAGATCACTCCTGAACAAAGCAACAGTTCCTTTGCTTGTTTGTTTGTTTGCTTGTTCGTTTTGTTAGTCTGTTTGCTTGTTGGCTTGCTTGTTAGGAGTGGTGCTGATGGTCGCTGTGAAGGTGTGTGTGTGTCATGTTTGGTATGCAAAACTCCACAAAGAACGATGACTCAGCCAGACTATTTCGTCAAACTCTCACCGACTCATCAGCACGTTGAAACCCAACAGTCCACCAAGGATGCATTATGTGTGTGTGTGTGTGGGGGGGGGGGGGGGGGGGGGGGGGGGGGGGGGGGGGGGGGGGGGAGGGGGCTGGGGAGAGCACAGGGGACATCGCTTTGTTGAGTGTGCCCATGCGAGCCAACTGATCTTTCTGTTGGGTGTGCCCATGCGAGCCAACTGATCTTTCTGTTGGGTGTGCCCAATGGGAGCCAACTGACCTTTCTGTTGGGTGTGCCCATGTGTGGTTATCTTTTAGCCGGGTGTGCCCACATGCGGTAGTCGCAATAAGGTATTGATTCTTGAAAGAAGATCGCATTGCAAACCTGCGCTGAGACATAGGTGGTTTTGCACCTGATGACACGCATGCACATGTGACAGTTGGTAAACAGATCACTGTTCAAATCCAGGGACTCAAAGCCATTACCCACTCTCATACTCGTTCGACAGAATCTAACCGTGATCATGGTCAGATACGTCCCAGAAGTCAAGTGTGAACACACAGCACATGTGGCATGCGGTGGCAGATGTCAAACACGTCCCACATGCCAGAGTCACTATAGAAGGAGGACGAGCAGACATACCTTGCACGCTTGCTCTCCTTGGACTCCTGCAACAGACTTTCAAATATTGGGATGCCAAACGCAAGGGTTTTGCCAGTGCCCGTCTTTGCACGGCCAATGAGATCCCTCCCTTCCATGGCTGGCTGAAGAACCGCTTTCTGCTCAGAACAACAGATTCACAAAACCCAACAACCATCAGGAACCGTGCCACTTCCTCATCAATGCCACAATAGTCCATCCATCCTACCATCCATCTGTAACTTTTATGTACATTATTAATTATTAATCTTGTCTCTTCTCTACATATGTCATAGGAGGAGCGACAAAGTGTTTTTTTTTTTCTTCGAGTTCTTTGGCCACCAGGATTCCGAGTTTCAGTGTTCTAAGACCATCAATTAAATTACAACCTATATGATCGGCCTTGAAAACAAACAAAATGGGGCACCACCAGGCCATCAGGCCAAATTCCACAAAAATACACTACGTAGTACGTACACAAGACACAAACTAATTACAGTGTACACACAGTTTTATCCACCTTTCCCATGGCATGAAATAAATCCATGCGTCGACATCAGTATTCCTCATTCATTCATTCTAATCATGTCTTCCCTCACAATAGGCATCCCCATCCTATAACTCGGCGGAGTGTTGCTTCTGACCATACCACCTCCCTCCCCGCCCTCGCATCCTCTTCAGCATCACCGTCAGCAAGCATCACCATGTGTGCCTCATCATCACAATCAAGATTTCCTCTTCATGACCAACATCATCATCGTCCTCCTCCTGCTCGACGTCATTATGTCGATCATATGACGACTACCATCATTGTCCCTCATCATCCTCTTCAACATCACCGTCATCATCACAATCAACATTTCCTCTTCATGACCAACATCATCATCGCCGTCCTCCTGCTCGATGTCATTATGTCGATGATACGACTACTACCATCATTGTCCCTCGTCATCAACATCGCCACCATCTTCCTCGTCTCTTGCTCCATCAGTCTCCATCATCATCATCATCATCATCATCATCATCATCATCATTTGACTACCAACACAATCACCATCATCACCACGTGCACCACCACCGGGCCTAGCTCGGTTGGTACACCCATGAGCTGTTGAGATACAGAGATCAGTTCGAATCCCCATGAACTCAGACGAGTATATATATCGTCACAAATTTATCTGAGCACAAACGTGAAAAAAAGAAGAAATAAATTCATTTTTTATCTTCTTCCTTACAAGACTCTCCCTGTTCAAAACCTCTTGCGTACAAGGCCGCCCACGTGGATATATATCATCAAATAGAACTGCCCGGTAAACCGTAGGCAGAGAGGGAGAAGAGGACAACAAACGAGGGGCTGTGACAAACTGTTTCGTCGGAGTTTCACCGACTCTTCATATATCGTCACAAATAGAACTGCCCGGTAAACCGTAGGCAGAGCGAGAGAAGAGGACAACAAACGAGGGGCTGTGACAAACTGTTTCGTCGGAGTTTCACCGACTCATCAGGAGGCTGAACCCTCAACAGTCTGCAGAATCCCCTCACTGATTACACTGTAAATTGGTGCCGATCAGTGTAAAGATCGTATATCTCAACGCCGCTGCCCACCCTCCTCACCGTCCTAGTCGTGGTCACCATCATAATCATCTTCATCATCATTATTATATTACAATATATTATACTAATTTATATTAGAAAGAAAAGACAAAGATAAGAGGAAAAAGAAGAAGAAGAAGAAGGAAGATGAAAACAGAGACTTTCGATGCCTTGGACAAGGCAACAACTGACAGACTGGCACCACTTTATCACAGCCCATCATCATCATTAGATCACTATATTCTATTACATTACACTTATTTTATGTTAGAAGAAGAAAAGAAAGACAAGAAGAAGACTACAACATGAGACTTTGCATGCCCCGGATAAGGTAACTCACAGACTGGCACCACTTCATCACAGCCAGAGGACACAAATGGCACAGAACGACATTACAAAGAAATTGCCGATAAGTCTAAAAAGCTCACGAGGCGCCAAAGCGTGTATGGCCAACGCGACTACACACTCACACGTAGTGTTCACAATAACGTATGCGGGTAGGGTGATGGTCCTGAGTGCTGGTCACACAGAGGTAGGATAGCAGGGACCCCCTGGGGTGCGCTGGAAGTATTAACTTGTGGGGATGGGTAGGGGTAGGTGGCCTATCCTGTCAGGACAACCATTGCTGCCGCTGTCAGTAATGGCCGCGGGTCTGGTCCTTGGCCTCTACAACACCCTGGGCTTTATACCCCAAAAAAAAAAAAAAAAAAAAAAAAAGGAGGATGTTTGCCAAAAAAACAGTTCCCCCGGCCTCCCTTTGTTGAGCTATAATGTGATGCCCTATATGGGCAAATTGATGGGGAAAAAAATAGGGGAAAAAAAAAAAACACAGTTCGCAAGCAACTTCGTTAATCGTTTAAGAGACGGTGGCAGAAACTGGGACTCTGAACAGCTCAAAGAAAAGGAAAAAAGGAAAAGGAAAAAGCAGACGAGAGATAATAAACTATAATAAAATCGATACCTGCATCAACAATTTGACGGCGAGACAGAAAGGCAAAGAGCAGTGCGAAACGGTTTGATGAAGTTTTCACATTTCCTCCGCCCAGGGAGGACGAGCAAAGCATCGTGCAGAGGAAGAGCGAGCATGGTTCTTCTGAGAGAAGAACCACACGGGCAGAGAAAGGCCACGGCCACAGAGGACGAGGAGCGACGGAAACGAAACAGTTTGATGAACAAGTTTTGAGGTTTCCTCCGTCCTGGAAAGACGAGCAAAGAAAGCATCCGCTCGAATGGAAAGCGTATGATGAACAAACAGAGGGCCAAGGAAGAGCATGGTTCTTCTGAGCAGAGAGCCACACTGGCAGAGCCACACTTGAAAGTGTATGATGAACAAACAGAGGGCCAAGGAAGAGCATGGTTCTTCTGAGAGAGCCACACTGGCAGAACCACACTGGAAAGTGTATGATGAACAAACAGAGGGCCAAGGAAGAGCATGGTACTTCTGAGCAGAGAGCCACACTGGCAGAGCCACACTGGAAAGTGTATGATGAACAAACAGAGGGGGGGCCAAGGAAGAGCATGGTTCTTCTGAGAGAGCCACACTGGCAGAGCCACACTGGAAAGTGTATGATGAACAAACAGAGGGCCAAGGAAGAGTGATACCGACACGGAAAGGCGAAGAGTGTGTGAGACAGTTTGATGAATGAAGTCTTCACATTTCCTTCGTCTCAGGGAAGTCGAGAGCGAAGCATTGGCACTCGTGCGGAAAGTGTATGATGAGCGGAATTGGGGTAAAATGCAGATTTGTCGCACCTAGAGTCTTCCTGCTGTGCGTTTCGTTCTTGCCTTTCTTTTTTTTTCAGTTTCTTTTATTCAAAACCTTGTCCACCAATGATTACGGGCCTCGCTACACTACTCACCACCACATGCACAAAAGACCAAAAAAAAATCTGGCGGCGTATCTTCCCATGTTTTAGCAGAAGATCCATTCTCATTTTGAACATTCGGTGAGTGTACTGGAAGGAGGCCCGATGAGCATCGCCACATGGACAAGTTCGTTTTTTTTGTTTTTTTTTCAAGCTGTTATCAGGAAAGCGGACAGCTCCAATACCGCCGACGCATGAGAGCTCTCTACCGACCTCCGCCCAAAAATAGCACACCCTTCTTATTATCAGCACACTGACCGTGAATGTTACTGAACAAGCCACCTTTGAGGCCCAATAACAATATCATAATGAGGGTGCACTGTATTCGGGGTAAGACAGCAGTACAGCCGAAACACAAGGAGGGAGCTCAGGTAAGCGAGAAGATCAATAGCAGTGAAGATATGAAGAGGATGACAAAGTGACCAGATACAAGGAATAACCATCGGGTAAAGAATGAAAAAAACAAAATACAGGGAGAGGATGGGGGAGGAGGGGAAGGGAAGATGAACAAGCAAGGGAGGCAGCGGTTGATTGAAGAACGGAAAGAGAGAAGCGTGACAGAATAGAGAGAGACGGCAGGGTGGGAAAAAGAGAGTGGGAAGAGAGGAGAGGGGGGGGCCGAAATAGCAGGAAGAGAAAAACAAAGACTAACTGAACGAAAGGGAGAGAAAGTAGTAGGAGAGAGAGAGAGAGGACGAAGAGGCAAGGAGGAAGTCCCGAAAGACGGCGGGAAAAGGAACGGGGAAAAAGATATAACGAGAAGAGAGAACGAGAGAGAAGTAGCATGTAAGACGGGGAAGGAAGAGGGATGGAGATGGTGGGAAGAAGATAGGAAGAGGGAGAGAGGAGGGGGCTTAGGGGAGTGCGCACGGGGGAAGAGGGAGCAGCAGCAGAAACGCAAGAAAGAGAAGCAACATGTAAAGCGGAAGACGGGGAAGGAAGAGGGCTGGAGATGGTGGGAAGACGATAGGAAGAGGGAGAGAGGATGGGGCTTAGAGGAGTGAGCACGGGGGAAGAAGTAAGAGCAGCAACGCGAGCAAGGGGGGGGGGGAAGATAGAGAACAAAAGGGGAGGAAGGAAGACGGAGAAAAAAAAAGGGAAGGAACATCGAGTGATCAAATTACTACCGTCTTCATCCGAACACAACGCACCCTCATTTTGGCTGTATCTGGACGGAAATATAACTCGTATACATTTATTCTTAGGGTGCGTTATGTTCGGGGGAAGACGGTAGTCCAGAGGAGCACGGGCATATTGATACTTAGACAAATTACGAACGAAGCGAGGCTTGTGGACCCGGAAAACACGGGACAGAAGGGAAAAAAAGAAAAAAAAAACGAAGAGCGGCTCTCTCTACCCCAAAAATTCTTACTTCGACAATTTGATCATCTCACCGCTGATTCCTTTCACAAACATACAGAAATCCAACCGGGACGGTTTTGTAGCTTCTTCTTTTTTTTTTCTTTTTTTTTTTTCCAAAGAAACTCTGCTCATTCTTATTACCACCCAAAAAGAGAGGCCGGGAAAACCTCAACGAACAACCCGGAAGAAAGCAATACTGGGACCACTACCCAGCTTAGGTGCAGGCCTTGGGACACTGTGGTCTAGTAGCAGAATGGTAAAATCTGGACCGCTGCCCTGACACATCCCAACCCTTCATGTGGGAAAAAAGGGGCAATTTAGGATTCAGAAGTAAACGGCGGCGAACACAGAAAAACTCAAAATTGACTTAAAATGGGTGGACTCAACATTAGCTCAGCATTCAAAACTCAAAATTAACTTTAAAAAATGGACTCAACATTCACTAGACTTAACTCAACCTTAACTTAGAACTAACTCAACATTCACTAGAACTAACTCAACATTCACTAGAACTAACTCAAATTAGAGACGGTTGTACAAGCGCGTTATTGCTTGCCTCTCTACTCTCTACTTGTGAAGCAGCCCGCGCCCTCTTACGGGCCCATCAACAAAAACGATTGGCCATTGTGATTAACTTAACATTAACTCGACATTAACTTAACATTAACTCGACATTAACTTAACATTAACTCGACCTTAACTTCAAATGAACTCAACATCAACTTAGAATGAACTCAACATAAACTTAAAATGAACTCAACCTTAACTTGAAACGAACTGAAACTTAACATTGACTTAAAATTAACTCAACTCACATTTACTCATTTCGGCATCGCCGTTTACTGCTGACACGAAATAATACCACTGTAAGTCCAGCAGTTAGCAGTAAACGGCGGCCAACGGCGCCAAACGGCGGGTGCAATAAACGGCCAACCAACAACTTGCAGTAATTCGGGTTCGCCGCCGTGTACTTGTTTTTGAAACGGAGTGTTCGAAATTCATTCCCGTTCAACTTTCAGCTCCTGACTTAGTAAAAATGCGTCCAAACTTTCAAGACACAGAATAGAAGGCTCTGCTTTGGGAGACTACGTATTTTCCATTGATTTGATTTTGAATCTTTTTATTCAATTCGTAAGCCCGACAGCTATAACACTTGTCATGTGCACATACAGAATTATATAATGAGATATATCATCACATGAATATCAGAGCGCAAATGCGAAAAAAAGAAAAGAAGGAAAAAAAGAAAAAAACAGGAAAATATAAATTCAGTTTTTTATATATATCGTCACAGTTTGTCACAGCCCCTCGTTTGTTGTCCTCTTCTCTCTCTCTGCCTACGGTTTACCGGGCAGTTCTGTTTGTGACGATATATTGTCACATGAATATCAGAGCGCAAATGCGAAAAAAAGAAAAGAAGGAAAAAAAGAAAAAAACAGGAAAATATAAATTCAGTTTTTATATATATATCGTCACATATATAGTCACATGAATATCAGAGCGCAAATGCGAAAAAAAGAAAAAAAGGAAAAAAAGAAAAAAAACAGGAAAATATGAGTTCAGTTTTTTATCTTCCTTATAACTCCCCCTGTTCAGAACCTCTTGCGTCCAAGGCCGCCCACGTGGATGGAGGTAGTACTTAATACTTGATGAGTTTGCTATGACGTAATCAGCATAACTCAGAGGTTATAAGTTATAACCATCCCCCTTCCTCCGATAACGTAAATCAGACAAATGGGAAAGGGAAAAAAAAAAAAAAAAAAAAAACGCAGTGCGCCCACCTCCACCTCGTCACCACCATTCCCAACATAATACCCCGCCAGATAACTTCGGTGCATCTGTTCGGTGAAGATCAAAGCACACACAGAAAAAGAAGAAGAAGACGAAGAAGAAGGAAAAAAAAAAGAAGAAGAAGAAAAAGAAGAAGACGAAGAAGAAAAGAAAAAGAAGAAGAAGAAGACGAAGAGGAATTATTTCTTCCCTCCCGTGCATCTGGTCTGTGAAGATCATAGCGTACACACACAAAAAGAAGACGACGCCGATGAAGAAGAAGAAGAATGAGAAGGAAAAAAAAGAGACGAATGAAAAAAGAAGAAGAAGAAGAAAAAAGAAAGAAGAAGGAAGACGATGGACTCATTCTGACCCTCTCTCGTTTTTCGAAAAAAGGCGACGGCCTTGAGATATGATCTCTGAACTGACCTCCCCTGGTAATTTAGAATTATTCTGTTCATCTGAGTGCGCATCTGGATTCGAACATGGGTCTGCATTTCAACAGTTCAGGGGTGTACCAACTGACTGAACTAGGCCGTCTTTTCTTTTCTTCCCCTTTCCAATGCTCAATGCTTCCCTCTTTGTCAGCTGGGTCAATATAGGACTCCTCTCCATCTTCTCTCTTTCCCACTAGGATTCCCAATACGACTGCCAGACGTCTTCTTATTCATTATGTCTGTCCAACGTTAGTTTTTTCTCAATTGCAGCGCGCAGGCGTGCAGGTAGATGGCGAAAAAAAAAAATCACAGCTGCACTGTCGAGGCAGAGAATACTAATACTAAAATATATACACATCTGACTTTTTTAATAATGAGAGTTCGAACGCTCAGTCAGCACAACGTTAACCATTTTTCAGCAGCAGGACCTTAACCATTGTATTGACCTAGCCAGGTAAAAAACTGAAACTGCAGACAGATACTGCTGCACAGAGAGAGAGAGAATAAATAGATGACTGGATGAGAGTTCAAACTGGCAGTCAGATAAGGAATTCAACAGAGGAAGTAGGGGGAAAAAAAAACAAAAAAAAAACAGAAAGGATTGGGACTTCGATTGCGAATCTGTACAGGGGTTGGGTTAATCTTTCACCCCAAGTTAATTACTGGTTGGTTTAATTACTAACCAGAAACTACAATGCACCACAATGGTTAACAACCGTCGGCGAAAGAGTTCGAACTCTCATAAAGTCATTTACGTATCATTCATCCACTGCCTCGACAGTAATTGTTAACCGTCTGCGATTTTTTATTTTTATTTTTTTTCCTTAATCACGGGCCCTGTGCCCAAGGCTTATATTTCCAATTGAAAAACAGTCGAGGCCGGGGTCCTCACAGTCTACCCGGATGGTCACTTCGTCTGTGATATTTTCGTTACCTGTGCAAGTTCCAAAAAAAAAAAAAAAAAAAAAAAAAAAGCTGGCCCAAAAGCTCAAATAATGTTACAAATGCCTCTGCATACAAAAGATCACCTGGCTCACTGTAGTTAGTTCTAAACTACTGAGCTGATGTTTCATTGTTATTTTTTTTTATATATACATCCATGTCTCAATAGCGAAACAAAGCAATTACCTGATTCGCTCGACACTCAGTACCCCTGGCTGTTTCCCGACCATTGATTGACTAATTGTGGGCGATGTATTGCCTATTTGTTAGCAATTGGCAGGCTACTAGACTATGTATTGGCTCAATTGTCAAGAGCTTACAATAAGATGGTCTACTGATCACCTAGATAGCACAACGTCATTACTACTGGCTATATTAATTAGCTATTTCTTGGCTATTTCTTGGCTATTTCTTGGCTATTAATTGGCTATTTCTTGGCTATTTGTTGGCTATATCTATTGGAAGCTTACAATAGGAGGATAGTCAATTAATCACCTAGCTAGCCCAACGTCATGAGTAGAATAGAGTGAAGCGATTAGCGATTAGCGATTAGCGAGTGAATCTATTGGCTCTATAACACGCTAACACGCTCGCAATCTAAGCATAGTAGTAATTACTTGGCTAAACAATAGTCTGATTCAATTCTTACTTGCCTCGATGCACACGGCGGCCGAGCTATTACCTGGCTTTATGCTGGAGTTTTGACTGATTACCTCTATCATTCAGAGAGACTCTCCTCCTTAATTGGCTAGCTTCCCTAGTTCAGCTCCCACGTAATGGGCATCTGATTCACTCGATACTATTGTTTGGTGATAACCTTTCCCACAAAAACAATCCCTAACTGACTCATTGCTCGAATCATTGAACTATTCGCCGACGTACCGTAATAATCACCTGGTCAGACAAGTTCTCTCTCTCTCTCTCTCTCTCTCTCTCTCTCTCTCTCTCTCTCTCTCTCTCTCTCTCTCTCTCACACACACACACACA